TCGTGTAGATCGTTACCAGTATATTCGTACACGGTATCCAAAGCAAAGGTGTCAGATAAACAACTCGAACCAGTTGATAGCTCTGAAACAATATTTTATAATTTCAGAATTACTATTGCTAAACATTTCTGAAATTCTGATTCAAGTAGGCAGGTATTGAGCAATGATCTGCCTTCACCATTAGAAGGCATTCATTATGGAATTACTACTGCTTGATGCTGCAGGGGCATGAGTATGTTGCACCATAATTGGTTCCCATTCCCAAAAGAGGACCAATGCAAGCAAACCGTGCAACGAACGGTATTACCTATGCCTCAGGTACCTTTGGTTTTTTCGGGGACAATAGCTTTTATAACAGCCATTTCTATCCTTCCATTCCCTCGCTTAAATCTGTTTTTTTTTTGCAACTGGTGTAATGACAATCGTCTAGACACCTATTCTGTTTCGCATCCAACTGCTACGCGATCGAAAACCCCGCAACTGTGAGAAAGGAGGTGGAACTAAGACCCACAAAATTTCGGCCTATGTCCAAAAGACGGGTGCAACGTAAACGAGCGTGAAATAACGTGACCAAATAGCTTTACATTCAATTATTGGGACGCTGCTATTCGGTGAGACAGGCTCAAAAACAAGCGTTTAGCAAAGGTATCCATTGCAGGTGATCTGATCCAATGGGGCTAAAACTGACCCACACAAGTTTTGCCTACGTTTGAGGGAATAGGTCCTGCAGAGAAAGCATGAAAGTGAAGCAGCGTTTGCGCGTTTCGCGAGATTGGTGAGGCTCATTCGATCGAGAGGACAGATTTAGATACCAGTACCTAAAAACGGGAATTCTTCCCAAGTGATTCAACGATGCGGATGGGATCAGATACCAGCACTACGCCGCGAAATCGTGATGGATCCAACCTCCGCGCTCCCCGAGCGTAACTGTGCTACTGTCATTTTTTCTTGTTTTGTTATGAATTTTGTCCGATAATCAAATAGTGGACATACACAGAAAACAACATTTACCGTACCATGCCATATTCGAATCGTTGGCAAAATCTGGAGAAGATGACGGCTATCAATGCAATCACTAGGCATACACCATGAAGCAATATTTTAAATTCTACTCGAGCCCTACAACAGTCCTGCGACTATGTGATGAAAAATTATGAGAAGTGTTAAAAAATTTAGGACAAATTACTTCAGATTAAGGAAAATTATTCGAGAATCATTCAGATTGAAATCAACAATTTAGAGTATAACATATAGGAGAGAGATTTAGAAAAATATAACTTTTCGCTTATAAAGGCAAAAGTACCCTGAAGTCGTTGTAGGCATGTGGAAAGTGGTGTGTGTAACTTCATCCCGACTAAGCTACTGCTTACATTCTGACAGAGAATACGATAACAAGTTCCCTCGCGGTCACATGATCGAGCACAATTCGAAAGGAAATCCTTGACTGAAACCCAACCACAACGTCCCCCAGCAACTTGAGTCATTGCTCAATTCCCTCGATGTGAAAGGTTAAGGCGATTGGGTCGGATCAATTTCAATGTAGGCTTCTGGAGACATCTGGATTCCCATTAGGGTTAGACCGGGTTCATCTTTTCAACGGATGGAGCTTTCAAATGACTGTTCCAAACCGATCCGCTGATGGGGGTGGTGCAGAGGCTAGTGATGCTGCAGTATTTGCTACGGTCAACTGATAACTTCGACCCTCACCTCGAGTTAAAAAAATTCTCGCAAAAGTATGGGGGAGCTGCGAACAATCTTTCACAAACCCTTTCCTCCGAATCGTATCGAACATATAAACATAACCACCCAGACAGAGGACCACAGCCGTCACTCCATAAACTAGCCCGATGATGAAGGTGGACTGAAATATGGGCTATTTAAGTAATTTTCATTGCATACTGGCACTTCGGTATCGACTTAGACATGATAATTGCAGTGATCTGTCCGCATTTGGTTGCTCAGTACCGTCAAATTGAATATCAAATCACAGTAAGGCCACCTTATCTTACTGGGAAACTTCGGTGACAGTTCTAGCAGACGTTATATGAGAAAGACAGGAATAGAACCGCAAAATTGCCGCTTTGACAGCATCGTGACAGTTTCGACCATTTGCTAGCATCCTTACTGTCTGGTTCACAGAAAATTACCTACCGCATCATAGCGAACATCAGGAGCACTAAGAAGTACTGGGACGTTCGTACCCTTAACACCATACTGAAAATTGAAAATACAGTACAATGGTGTAGCAATGATGAGCGGTAGCGATACTTGGGCGACAAAAAGTTTCCATTCTTGTAAATGGTCCACGACCTAGATCATTATGAAAACAGTAAGAATGAAAGGAGAAGAAATCATATACGGAAAGAAGACAGAAGCTTGAGGACGATCACCTTTGTTATGTGGGCCGAAGGTAGGCACATTGTCATTAGCCGTACACCCAATTCCATAACAACAGTGGTCACTTGGGTGTCCATAATTACTTCTTGGGTAACCTGGGCAAATTTCGTCCAGATACGATAGCGGTTCAGATATAGAAATAAAGGAACCATAGAATCAAAACATCTGGAGTACATGGTCGCAGTGAAAAACGTGAGCGAGAAAAGATCGAGGAATCCCTGAATTGACAATTCTTACAGAGAAGTATGAAGCATGGACGATAAAGACTTTTACAGTGAGCATCTAGGCACTGCTTCTGAGATGCGCCCCGCATTCCACTTCCATTCAGAAAAGTATTGGCGTTTTGGGTGGCTGGCAGACGCCATCCAATGTCCTAGCTGGCGCTTTTGTCCCCCTCCCCATACGAGTTTAGAACTAATTTCGTGACTCAGAAAGATGAAAGGTTAGTCGGCCTAGATTGCTCACGAGCCGGCACTCGATCACCGGATTATGAGGGTAATAATGCGCCTTTTGGCGGCACACTACTCCCGCGTTCAGTTGATTTACATAAAACAATCAAACGATTGCACCTGATTCCACCATAGTCTGAAGAAAGCGCTGTTGAATCGACTAGACCGTCGGTTACGAGTTACGATGAACAAGGCATCGCAATACAGAATGAAAGTTGCCACCACAATGAAACCAATAGCACCGATAACCAACTCGTAATCCATTCTGCAGGACTTCATATCAAAACGAAATTTTTCGTGCAAATAAAAACGGGCGCGTTGTCAGTTCACGAGAATATCTTGCAAGGGTGACTAGAACCCAAGTATTTGATTATTTTTTATTAGGTTGTCGGAAAAGTATTTGCGCCTTTTGTCATTTTTTTCGAATTTATTTTTTTCCTTCACAATAACTAACAATTAACAAATATATGCACCATCATTATCGACAAGGTATTGCCATTCACCAGGCAACTTGTGGTTCCTGCTTGCATAGAATTCCTGAGGTTTCGAGGAGGAAAACTCGTCAATGTACGTCTCGAGTTGATTCACATAATCGAACTTCTTATTTTTCGGATGGTCCGACAGCGACAGGAGCAGATGACAATCCGTTGGAGTTAGGTCTGGTGAATACGGTGGGTGGGCCATAACATGCCATCTCAGGCTTTGAAGCTTCTTCTGGGTCTCCTTCAAAAAATGTTAGCGAGCACTGTCGTGGAGAAAATAGACTTTCCCGAGTTTCTCTCTTAGAGCTGCAGCAATCCGGTCCACAGAGCACACTGGGCTTCAGTGCTGACAGCGGAGTTTGGTGGTAGAAAGTCCCAGTGGACGTTCCTGTTGAATGGCTACAAACGCTTGGCATTGCCTTCTGAGGTAGGAATTCTGGATTGGTGGTCGGGATTCCATGCTCTACGCATCTAAGCCACTGGCGCTTCCTCGNGTGGTTTAAGTAGGGAACACACTTCTCGTCGCCAGTGATTAAGTCTTCTAGCCATGCGAAGGTGCGTCGGAAAGACATCAAGTTCAGGCATGAATCCTTCTTCATTTGGAAGTGGTGGCCACCCAGACCACAACTTATCCATATCTCCGAATATCCATGTCTTTCCGAGGCGATGCAAATGGACAGCTGCTGTGTCGTGATGGCTATGAGCTCCTGTTTCAGCTGACGGGTGCTACACCTGGAATCCTCTTCAATCAGTTCCAGGGGGTGGTCGTCATTCAGGTCAACTGGTCTCCTAAATCGTGGTTCTTTGGTCCAGTCAAAGTGGCCGTTTTTGAACTTCTTGTAACAACTGCTTGATGTGCTATTAGAGACAATGAATGGTCCTATCGCATCGCATATTCTCCCTGTCGCTCAATTTGGATTGACGTTTTTTTCTGAACTTATGAAGAAAAGATAGTCTGACTGGCTTTGAGTCGAGAGCGATTCTTGCAGCCATAACCGTTGCGAAATGCTACGGCAGATATGGTGTGGAGAGCGCATTGACCTGCACTTACACATATTCCGCAGCGAAGGCTCTAGAGCAATCCCCAAAGATTCCACAACATGGAAACCAAAATGCGCAAATACTTTTCCGACAACCTAATACTTTGCTTCACTTTGCTTTTTAGTTTAATTTTCTTTATTTGTTTATATATTTATTTGTATATTCAGTGCTGCACTCATCGCTTACAGCTACAAAAATAGGTGTGTAAGGTGCATAGCTGCCAGTTCTTTAATCGGAATGAATGATATGATTTGTTGATCAGGCGAGGTAACATATATGGACAGTGAACAGTATAAACACATGAATTTGATGGCGAAGAGGCGAAATTATCGAGTGGTCTGTACTGAAGGCTTGAAAAAGTGTCCGAGAGGATCGGTAATTTTTGAGTGCCCTCACTCTTCTCCCAGCTCTCCACTGTTTCTGCTAGCTTTATTATATAAACTAATAATTGGCTTTTGTATTCTTTAGCGACAGGCCATGTGGGGGACGGAGTGGAAACATAAAGTCTATAGGGGTGTATGATTGATCAGTCTTGTTTATGAATGAGCTCCAACATTCGATCTCTTTTCGAAACTTTATTAGCTTGTTGAATGCGTTAGGCGCCATACGGCAATTCAAACGTGTCAGCCTCTGTATAAGTCAGTGTTTTTCTTCTGCGAAATGAGTGTGGTATTAATTGAGTGCCCTGTGGAAAATGGAATGATTGGTCAGCCTCAGCAGATATCAGAGCGGAAATCGAAAAGCAAGCCTTGGGCGCATTGCATTGCATCACACCCCTATATAAGGAACGGCTAAACTAAAGGAACTAAAGAAAAAACTAAAGGCTAAAGGAACGGCCACACCAGAACGTGGGAATTCGGATGCCTACGCACCGGTCAGTGAACACTTCGCCCCTAACAATGCTGCAGTGGGACGATTCTACTGCGTGATGGAGGAGCCTGCTACCCTGTACAACAAACCATACGCCCTGACTACGACGTGTACGCGGGAACATGGGAATCAACCTGCTCGATTATATAGCAAGAATAGTGTACTACCTTTATGGCGTGCGGGTATTACATGCCACACTCCAATTTGTGAAGGCAAATACGTAAAGGGAACACTGTGACGTAATACAATTCTGCTGATCATTAACACAAATGAAACGACTACGCTGAGACAATGATGCGGGAGGTTGGGACGAGCTATGAGGAGGAGGTGAGAATAGATGAGTTGCGAAGTTCCACGATGCGTATAATGCCCACTGGATAAAGACCGGACAGCATGCGACGGTTAGCAACTGCTATGCCAGAAGACTACATTGGAACAGCCAACTGAGTCTGAGACACTAGTGAGATAGCAAGCTTGTGACTATTTCCCCGCGCTTCTGGCAATTTTCGTCTTTCTCGGGAACACCGGTTGCAAGTGAGTGTTGGAGCGCGGTTTCCTCTCGCCGAATGCTCTGACCAAGAGTGGAGATCGTGCGCGAGTCACGACACCGTCTGATGCAACTTTGATAAAACAAACGACTACCCAGATCGATATCCGCGTAGGCCAACCAAGCCTTCCATCCCTCCAGGGCCTGTTGATTTGTACCTGACTCGTCTGAGACGATACAGCGCTGACTTGAACAAGGGTGGCCACACTGAGCAATTGCGCAGGCTATATACGCTCTCAATACGCCTCTACGATTTTGAATGGAAGGCGAGTCCGGGGCGCATCCCACGGACGGAGTTGTTGTCGCTGTTACACACTGTGCGAAGATGGAATGAAAACACGACCCAATGCTCTTATTTATAACTAGTCGGATCACCCGGCTGACGCCAGGCTGTCCTCCTTCTTGTGTCAAACAGCCTATCCCGAGAAATGTTAAACTGAAAAATTTTTCCCTTTTTTTAAAGTTCATAGTTTCGAGCTTTTTCCGCTGTTTAGCTGGGTGAGAGCATGAAACTGAAACAGAGCTCAAAATCCTTCTTTGACAGCACAGAAATCGAAAGCTTCCGTAATTTTGATAAAGTAATAGTAAGTCTAACTCTCCACTCCTTTTTGGAACAAATGACAGTTTCCTGTACACGAAATTTGACCTAGGGCTAACAGCGCAGTGCAAATGGTATTCAGTTGAAGTCGGTGCTTACGCCTTGATTGGAAGTCTCAAACTTTTGCACCCTTTCATAGAAATCAATAGCCATCAAAAATCCAACTGTTAGACAATCAAAGATGAGGAGATGCTGTGGAGATGTTCTGAGTGATGATAGCACCGTTATCAGATGTTTATCAATGGACATTTTCTTCACGTACATGTCATTAGTTGAGAATTCCAGATTATTGGTGGTCGGTTAACTTTTATCTCAAATGATATCGACCAAAGAGGACCCTTCATTAAATCACAAACCTTGCTCGGTAGCGGTCGCAATCTAATAATAAGAAGTGAACAAAATTCTAATCCGCTTATCGTATTGCCCTAATGGGTCCCTATCACTGCACTTACCACTCACTTTTGCCACCCTGCTCTACCATCCCGTATTATCGAATACACTGAACGGTCAAGGCTAGATCGTAGATACCGAAGACGTTAGGATTTTGACCATTAGGTGGCCTCTCTTAGGTCCCTTATCTTCTCTTATCAATTATGATCAGTTCTTGTCACCGAGTACCTACGACCCCGTAAAACCCTACATCACTTACTGTAATGCTGGGGATCCACTATTAGTACGAAAAGTGTAACCTTATCAAATTTCAATGCTCTAGGTCCACACTAAACAGGAGTTATGAACTTGCGGCCCAAATTTTTATTACGCACACATCACTCCCTGTGCACGGAATCCGGTCCTGCCACCCACCATAAGTGTTCTCATCCTGCCCCCTCCCCCGTGTTCCTACCAAATTTGAAAGCCCTCGGTCCACGGGAAAAGGAATTATGAATTTCCGGCTGGACACACACACCAACAGACACACTTAGCGAATTATATGGAGTAGGATTCTAAATATCTCTTGAAAGTGATTACCACCATCTTTTACCATCAATTATCATGAATGAAAAGTACTGCAACAAATAATGTTGTTTGATAAGGGTTAGTCAATATTGCTTTTTTGAGATTGCTGAACTTGTGGCATTGGTTGACACCCCTGCCTTTTCATGGAAACCAACTCTCTCTAGTCATTTTTCGAATTACATCTTTAGAGTCTTAGGAGAGCGTTGACTGGAAGAGATATTCAAAAGAAAGTATTGTCTCGGGTTAGATATTACTTCCTAACAACTCCGTCTGTGTACGATCAATCTGTGTAATGTTGTGCCGTTCGTTATCCGATCGATTATTTCTGTGTAATTATGGGTATTAAGCAGTGGAAGAGAGAAGTCAAAGGATGAAGTCTTTGACCTGAATCAATACCTTTAGGATGTGTCATGGCATTTGATTTTCATGCAGAATCGAGTGGCGTTTTGAATGCGTATATGGCCTATACAATGACTGGCGGTGGCCGACCGATGTTCAAGTCAGTTCTTTTATCTTCCCAAACGAGTCGTGTACTAATCAAACAACCCCAGAGATACAGAAGCCCTGATGGGCAGGTCGTACCAACCCAGCGTTCTTCCCTTTACCATGTGCGTGGTGGCACTTCTCCACTCCCCGGATGAGAGGCGAATGGAAAGCAATAAATGACTAAGGGAGGCTAGGAATGCTCAATCAGGAATTCCGCAAGGGTTTCAAATTTGATACCGATTTTATAGGCTTATTGGCTGTGAAGTGTGATGAAAGGGAAATAATGGAAAGAAAGCAGTAATTTGATTCGAGCTATTTCCGAAAAAGACTGGAATCTTTCACCATGGCAATGTGGAATGCAAAGAATCAAGCGTCTCGTATCATATTGCTGCCCTAGTATGGATCCAGTAAACTGTCTGCAGCTAACTGCTTGTTTGTCATGGCATTTTTCTCAATATAGAAGAGATTCGGAACTCAATCCTCCGTGCTGGAGTTACCCCTATCTAGAGTTTACTCTAGCTGTCCTCTGCTGCCTTAGTGATTGTACACAAAATTTATGACAGGGTGGTCCGGTGCATCGAAGAGCTTGAATTAAATTGACAATTGGTTATTTGGTGAAAAGGCCAAACTCTGATGGTGAGACCGAAGAATCTATCAAAGACTTTTATCGAGAATTGGGTGAGACAATATGCCACTTCTACGAAACGCCTTCGCTCTCGGTTTACGACCACGTGTTCGCTTGCCTATGCTGTGTAACAGCGCTGAAGAGGGGTAGGCCTTGAAAAGGTATAAGTCAATGCCGAAAGGCTCACACTTAATACCCTTCCTATTTCCCTTTTCCTAAATCGTAAAGTGCCTTCGCAATAGCTGAACTACCGGCACGATTTATGGGATTCGGTTCACTGGGACAGTCGCTCTTACAACAACAGTTTCTTCCCATTCCTTGCCTCGAATATTTCTGCTTTTTTGTAATCGAGTATTGGCAATGCATTCAATTTCATGTTGACGGGATAACCAAATTCAAAGTTTCTCTTGAGACATGGTGGGAGGAAGCTTCTAGGTGTCAACGTATGTTGTAACTCCCTAATGACAAAGTACGACTTAGCAATGCCTGGCATTTATTTACTTCAGAGACTGGTTCGCTCAGCCTGATATTAATCATGTATCGGCTGAGACGAAAATAGATAATATTCAAACAATTAGAGCCACATCTTTCATTCTCAGCTCTTGTAATGAGCTTCACTTCTGGGATCCTTATTGGTGTACGGGGTGGTTCTCAAGGGTTTGAAAAAATAGTAGTAGACTTCGACGTAAATAAAAAAGAGCCTTATAGGTGCTTTTAACTGCGGTGGTGTTTCAGGGAAGGAAGGGTCATCCTCCAGTTCTAATTCAGGTCAATATGTAAGAGTTAGTGAGAGGCTGGTTTCGACTTTAACTGTTTTTGACGGCATTCATTGGCCTTTCAATGCTCGTATCGTTTCTCTCATAATCTAGAGATCGTTTTTCGATCTCTAGATTATGAGAGAAACGATCTGTTATCGTTTTTCAAAGAACAGAAGGACAGTTCAATGATTGCATTATTTATTCCCTAACTTATATGATACAAAAAAACTTCAAAAAACCCATTCTGATCCAACACAAGACAAATTCTAAATCGTTCCAAACCCAGAGGGTACAAAGCAATACATTCGAGAATGAGTGTCGAGGTTTGTTGACTTTTTCCGCCAAGCCAGCTTTCCAAATGGGACTCTACTACGGTCCAAATTCCAGGATTTGTGATCCGTTTACCAAGCATTCACCCTTGTAGAACTGCGATGGAGTTGAATCATCGCTAGAACGCTGGTTTTGTCGGGAAGAAGCGGGTTGAAAATACGTGAACGAAGTGATTTAGTCGTATAGATCGTTACCAAAATATTCGTGCACGGTATCCAAAGCAAAGGTGTCAGATAAACGATTCGAACCAGTTGATAGCTCTGAAACAATGTATTACACTTTCTATTTGAATTACTATCGCCAAACGTTACTAAAATTCGTGTTCGAGTAGGCATGTATTGAGCAATGATCAGCCTTCACCATTAGAAAGCATTTGTTATGGAATTGCTACTGCTTGTTGCTGCAGGGGCATGAGTATGTTGCGCCATAACTTGTTCCCATTCCCAAAAGAGGACCAATGCAAGCAAACGGTGCAACGAACGGCATTACCAATGTTACCTCAAGTACCTTTGGTTCTCTCAGGGACAATCGCTTTTATAACAACCATCTTTACCCAAACCATTCCCTCGCCTCATTCTGCTTTATTTTGAAGTAGAGTATTGGCGAGGGTCAAGTCACTTTCCCTTTTTCGCATCCAACTGCTACGCGATCGAAAACCCCACAACTGTGAGAAAGTGGGTGGAACTAAGACCACTATCCCACAAAACTTCAGCCTATGTCCAAAAGAGTGGGTGCAACGTAAACGAGAGTGAAATAACATGACCAAACAGCTTAAGGTTTATTTATTGGGATACTGCTATTCGTGAGGCAGGCTCAAAAACAAGTGTCAGCAAAGGTATCCATTGCAGGTGATCTGAACCAATGGGTCTAAAACTGACTCAACGCAAAGTTTAACCCTCATTCAAGGGGATAGTTCCCGCAGAGGAAGCATGAAAGTGAAGCAGCGTTTGCGCGTTTCTAGTCCTTGTTTCGTGAAATTGGTCATTCGATCAAGAAGACAGATTCAGGACGAGTATCCAGATAGGGTACTCCTTTCAAGTAATTCAACGATGCGGATGGGATTTGTTTCCAGCACTACGGAACGAAATCAAGATGGGTTCAACCTTCGCGCTCCCTAGTGTAGCTGTGCTACTGTCGTTGTTTGAAAAATTTATTATAAATTTTGTTCAATAATCAAACAGTCGATAGACAGAGGAAACAGCTTTACTGTACCTCGCCAAATTGAAATCGTTGGCAAAATCTGGAAAAGATGACGGCTATCAATGCCATCACTAGGCACACACCATGAAGCAATATTTTGAATTCTACTCGAGCCCTGTAACAGTCCTGTGACTTTCTGATAATAAGTTATTAAAAGTTCTAAAAAGTTCAAGGCAAATTACTTCAGATCGAAAAAATTATACAATTTAATTTTTCAACGGATGGAACTTCCAAATAACCTTCCAAACGATCTGCTGGTGAGAGTGGTGTAGAGGCTAGTGATGCTGCAGTATTTGCTGCGGCCAACTGATCACTTTGACTCTCAGCTCAAGTTTTAGACAAAAGCTGGCCCTAAAGGTACGGGGAAACTGCGAACAGTCTCTAACTAACCCTTTCCTTCGAATGGTATCGAACATATAAACATAACCGCAAAGACAGAGGACCACAGCCGCCACTCCATAAACTAGCCCGATGATGAAGGTAGACTGAAATATGGACTACTCAAGTAGTTTTCACTGAATACTGCTACCTCGGTATCGATTCAGACTTGGTAATTGTAGTAATCTGCCCGCATTTGGCTGTTCATTACTGCCGAATTAAATATCAAGTTACAGTAACGCCACCTTAACCTATTGAGAAACATCGGTGATAGTCTTTGCAGACGTTATATGAGAAAGACCGAAACGCGAAATTGCCGCTTCGACAGCATCGTGACTGTTCGGACCATTTGCTAGCATCCTAACTGTTTGGTTCACAGAACACTACTTACCGCATCATAGTAAACGTCATGAGCACTAAGAAGTACTGGGACGTTCGTACCCTTAACACCATACTGAAAATTGGAAATACAGTAGAATGGTGCTGCAATAATGAGGGGTAGCGCTACTTGGGCGACAAGAAGTTTCCATGCTGGTAAATGATCCACGACCTAAATCAAGATACAAGAAATAAATGACGGCTTCTGACATTAACTATGGTTTGCCTTTACCTAGCATGATTAGTACCAGTAACAGTCCTCAGAGGAAACCTAGGCATAATAAAAATAATAAGTATGAGAGAGAAGTAGTCATACACGGAAAAAAGTGGAAAGAAACTTGAGGTTAACCACCTTTGTTATGTGGTTCGAGGGTAGGCACATTGTCATTAGCCGTACACCCAATTCCATGACAACGGTGGTCGCTTGGGTGTTCATAATCACTTCTTGGGTAACCACGGCAAATTTCGTCCAGATAGGATAGCGGTTCATGTGCAGGAATACATGAACCAATTGATCAAAACATCTGAGATACATGGTCGCCGTGAAAAACGTTAGCGAGAGAAGATCGAGGAATCCCTGAATTGACAGTTCATACAGGAAAGTGTGAAGCATGGACGCTAAAGACTTCTGGCATAGAACAATTGCTTAGAGGATGTGCCCCGCATTCGACTTCCATTCAGAAGCGTAATGGCATTTTGGGTGGCTAGCAAGCGTCACTCGATGTCCTAGTTAGTGCTTTTATCTCCCACATAAGTCTAGAACTAATTACACCACTCGAAAAAAATGAGAGGTTAGTTGGTCTAGATTGTTCTCGACTCGGGACTCGATCACCGGATTATGAGGGTAATACTGTGGCGCTACGCAACATCCCGTTTTCAGTTGATACGAAACAATCAAGTTATTGTACCTGATTCCACCATAGTCTGAAGAAAGCGGTGTTGAATTGACTAGATTGTCGATTACGAGTTATGATGAACAAGGCATCGCAATACAGAATGAAAGTTGTCACCACAATGAAGCCAATAGCACCGATAACCAGCTCGTAAACCATTTTGCACAAATCCGTATCACATATAATTTTTGACCATTAAAAACGAGCGCGTATCAATTTACAAGAAGATTTTGCAAGTGCGACTTCGGCCCAAACATTTGATTAGTTTTTTTTTTGCTCGTTTACTTTTCTATATTTGTGTATTTGTTTATTTGTGTATTCAGTGCTCCACTCGTAGCACACAGCTGCAAAAAAATACGTGTGTAAGGTGCATAGCTGCTGGTTTCTCAATCGAAATGAATAAATAAATTTGTTGAACAAGCGATGTGACACATGTTAACAGTGAACAGTATAAACAGAAGAATTTGAAGGAAAAGTGGCGAAATTATTGAGAGATCTGTAGGCAATATTGAAGGTTTGCAGAAATCTTCAACAGAATCGGTAATTTTCGAGTCCCTTCATTTTCCTTCCGGCTCACCAGTGTTTCCTAACATAGGCTAAAGGCTGCTAACTTCATTAGGTAAATTAAAAGTCGGTTTTGTGTATTGTTTACCTAAAGGCCATGTGAGGAATGGTGTAGAAAGATAAAATCTATTTGGGTGTTGGATTGATCATTCGCGTTTTTGAATGAGCCCCGACATTCGATTCCCTCTCAAAGCTTTACTGGCGTGTTGAATGCGTTAGGCGCCGTACGACAATTCAAAGTGGTCAGCCTCTGTATAATTGAGTGTTTTTATTCTGCCAAATGAGTATGGTATCAATTGAGTGCCTTGTGGAAAATGGAAGGATTGGTCAGTCTCAGCAAATATCGAAGCGGGATTCGAAAAGCAAGCCTTGCGTGTAGCAGTGCGCCACTTTGTATACCACCACACCCTCAAGATAAGGAACGACTCCACTTTTGATGAAAATTTCGTTGAGAACGTAGTTTTACGAATGGTTAGAAGAAAAAACAGCAAGTGCCTTTGTGTCCTCGGAAGCCTTGAAAATTCCATCCGATTCCTTTGATGTTTGAGATTTTATTTTGGAAACGGTTGGTTTGTCCTGAAGCTTGAAGAGTACTGCAAATGCAAAAGCAAAACAGTCGCCGTGGTACCTGTCGTGACAAGGTGCTTTCTGCTGCTCACATCGGCGTTCCCGCACCCAGGCCCCACTAGAGCGGGGATATGGATGCCCACCCATCCCTAAGGGAACACGTCGCGCCGAACAGTGCTGAACTGGGACGATCATGCT